ATTATTATTATTTCTTGCCAGATGTGGCACAACCTTCTGGTGCTAAAGTGACACAAATTCATCTTGCTCTCATACGGTGATCTTTGAGCAGAGAATAAGGTCAGTCAGATCACTGCAATTAATAAAAAATAAATGAGAATAATGTCCATATTTTTTTTTTATGATGCGAGCTCTTATAATAACCAACTCAACAGGCTAATGTGACCATTCTGAGCTTCTTTTTAAGATAACACAGAAGTGTCGTATGCAAACAGAAAGATATATTTTCAAAACCCTTGGAAGAAAAAATAATTTACATCTGGACCAACTTTACATTCTGAGTTTGTTAACACAAATTTAATGCATTTCTCCTCAAAAATAACAATAACAGTCTTACATTTTATGCAACAATTTACAATAAATCCACTTTCATGTTGACATGTATGAAAAGCTTGTACTGCTTTGCAAAGAGATGTATATGTCATGTGTTAAAAGCAAATACATTGCATGTCCCTGTCTTCTTTCTCTGTACAGGTTTGAACTGGTCTGATCTTCCCGCTGAAACAGTTTCGCTTTGGTGAGTCAAAGAGACGCCCAGATAGAGACGGACAAACCTGTTCTCTGCTATTTGAAGTAACCTCAAGGTTTCAGCCACACTCGGTGTGGCTCTGTGCAAGTCCCAGCGGTGGCATTTAATGAGTGTTCTCATGCTCAGGAACAGCTGTGCATTATAAAACACGACCAAAACTGTACAGAATACACTGTTACATTCTTTCCATTGACTTCATAGTATAATGGCACAAAGTTTTGCCTTCCTCACAGTTCACACAATACACATATGTGGAGTCTTTATACATTACCACATTCTTAATCCAACATTCCACAGATTTATCTACATATCACACTGCATCATCTTTTACATTAAAAAAACATAATTATGGGTATACCAACTGTCAGAAGAAGACACACACTTCACATGTCATTGTTTTTAGTAGCATCATCTTACACATTTAGAGCTGATGGCACTTGAGGGCCCTGTTCTTCAATCTGAAAGAATTTAGGCTAAAATACTTTTTTCAGGTTACAAGAAGCTGGTTTAGTCTCGTCAATCTAATCTGATTCTCTCAGCCTCCTTTAGGATTGGTTTGTTAATCCCAAATAAAAGTTCAAGGGAAAAGTTATGGAGAGGCATAATACTGGCTGAATGCTGAGCATGTGATTGCACTAACAGAGAGAGAGGAGCTGAGACAATAGGCTTTTAACAAAAACTGGAAACATTCTGACCTGTCATTTCCCAGTGATCCCAATTAAATACGATACGTGGCACAGCTTCATTGGCAGTTCATTGTTTTCTTCTTTTTTTTCCTACAGCCTGCCACTTTATGTTATGATCTCTGGCAGATGATAGTAACAGTGGTAATGACCAAAGTGGCATTGCATGACAAGTTAAGCATCATGCTTTTTTTT